ACCCTGACTACTGCAGACGGCAGGCACAACTAAACAAGCGGGCAGACACAACTGCAAATGCGATGCTGCGACCGGTCTGGCAGCTGGGCTGACGAACAGAGGTGCATAGTTAAGCGGTCTCTGCTTCACTTATCTGCCATACCGGCGAGTGAAGAGCCATGGCAACTTCTAACTGTCTATCACGACGCAAGCTCAAGTCGCGCATCCGTGCGCAAATCACATAATCAAGCCAGGTCATACATTTGCATGGAACCAGCTGATTACGATGCTATTGCTGCCCTGAGCACTGTTCACTCTATTTCATTAAGGCAACTAAAGACTGGCAATTGAATCTTGCTACTATCATGTGAGTAGGCTTCAGGTCTCAATTGCTTTTCACAGAATCCTTCTTCTCTAAAGCTATTCTTCACGGCAGTCTCGATCTCGCCTGGGTCCCATCAACAAGCCCGGCGGAACTCGAGCCTACTTATCAGCGAAAACACGCAACGTAGTCTACTGTTAATAGCCGATTGTTAGAACAGTCGAGGGGGTGAAAAATAAGAAAAAAAGCTAAAGTAGGTTGACCTCGTTGACGTAGAGCGCACCTAGTCCGAAGTCGTCTGCGATAGTAGTTGTCATGGTACATCATTCTCAAACGTTTCGCAGACGACTTCGGGCTAGATGCGTTCTACTGAGTCGCCCTGACAACAAGATCAAGTTGCGACAACGAGGTCAACTCACTTCTATAAATCGAAAGAAGACTGCGACCATACCAGAGGCCACACCATCTTGGTCTTCATATCTTCAAAGAAGGCTAAAGCCTATTAATGGTCTGGATTTTTACCTACTCCTAGAGAATGAAAATGACACTACAATTAATGAAAAAAAGAATCTGTTTGTTGTTAAGCTAATATGACAACATTCATCCTTATTTGCTATAGATGAAGAAAAAATGGTAAGCGGGGTCGAAACTTTGTTAGAAAAACTTTAATTTCGTATGAAAGTGTGCCATAAAGAGATTCGTTGCTTAATCTCACCGAAAGACGACGACCGATTCCTCTTGTTATGCAGCAGTTTGCCTTTAGTTCGATCTTCTGGTTGACGCGGTCCACAAGACATCCTCCCCCGTCTCCGGTGGTTGGGCTTACTTCCATTTCGAGTGAAAGTGTTAGATGAAGAGATTCGAAGGTCGGTTCCACCAGAAGATGGCGGCGGATTCCTTTTGACCAGCTGTCGATTGGCTTTACTGGAAGATTCATGCTGACACT